AGTTTAGAAGGGTTCGGGGTTTAGGTATCTGTCCTGGGGTGCGGGGTGTGTCAGGGCGAACGGTTTCCGTGTGTTGTGTTTGAGGTTTGCGGCGCTCGGGCTTCGCGTCTGCAGGGTCGGGGCACTTCACCCCCCCCCCCCCCCCGCACATCTCCTCTCAACACCTAGAGTCGCGTCCTACTCTCATCGAGCCTTACCTCTCTCGCTTCCTTCCTTCCTTCCTTCCTTCCTTCCTTCCAGCGCTCATGCCCCCCCCCCCCTGGTTTCCTCCGTGCCGTGACTGCGCTGTGGCTGGAGGATCGGTTGCGCTACGCCCACAGTATCAGCATGTGCACTCATCAGCTACCCGAGAAGGAATTTAAATACGGGCGGTATGTACTGGCTGTCTGGGATGACCTGGATCCCAGATACACACCCCCCTTTGCCCGCTCTCAAACACTATCTGGGCGTTTCTTGTGATGGGGAGCAGTGGCGGTCCGTCCTGGGACCACTTCCATCTGTCATCCTCCGCTTGTCTAATTTCTCGCCGCTGCTGCTGCTGCTGCTGCTGCTGCTGCTGCTGCTGCTGCTGCTGCTGCTGCTGCTGCTGCTGCTGCTGCTGCTGCTGCTGCTGCTGCTGCTGCTGCTGCTGCTGCTGCTGCTGCTGCTGCTGCTGCTGCTGCTGCTGCTTCTCCTTCTGCTTTGACTATCTCTCTCTCTCTCTCTCTCTCTTTTTGTGCCTCTCTCCCCCAGGCATCCGAAACGTCAAGCACTGTAATCTTACATCCCCAACTCCAAATCCTCAACCCTAAACCAGAGACCCCAAACCCAGCGTGGCCCCTCCTCTCGTCCCAGTCGCATGTGGTTTTTTTCATTCTTCAGCTGTTCCCCCTCGAAGTACCACCTTTTAGGGTCTGGGTTTAGCATTGAGGGCAGGGGCTTTCGGCTGAGGTTATGGAGCGTTAAGGCATTCAGGTTTTAGGGGTTCATGCTAGGAGTACCGTACTGGGCCGGTCAGTCAACCACGGCACCCCGATTCGACTGCTGGGCGGCGAGGGCGGGGACTAACAATAGCATCTAAGAGTCAACACAAACAACCTGAGCAGCTTCACCCTGCACACTAACAGCAGCAGACCACAACAGCAAGAAGAAGAAAACGACGACGAAGAAGAAAAACATTCTCACGACCGTAACCACTGACAAGCACCAGCAGAACCAGAACCACCCGCACCAGCCGAGAACCACCCATCTCCACCACAGCCAGTGGCAGCGCCACCACGAACACAGCCACCAGTAATGGGTTTGTGACACGTTGATGGGTGATAAAACTACAATGAGCCATTGAGTTGACGCGGTCTTCCTGAATGTACCGTCCAACAACACGACGCTCAATCCTCCAGGAAGATGCCCGGACAGGTTTACTTGTAACCATTTGCAACTAGACATAAAGATGCTTTGATCAGACTCATGCATAAGTCATAGGCACAATCGAGTCCAAGCATGTGATGTGACACCGAAAAAATCACATCGGAGAAAAGAAACAGAAGCACCGATGGCAGAAGACTACAGCATCTGGCAGCAATGATGAAATAAAGAAAGCACTAGGTCACATAAACCACTACATGGTGGTCTAGCATACTACACGACAACATCAAAATGGATCGCAGTCTGCAACACTGAAAAGACGCCCAGCACTGCATGCTGAGCTATCGGAGTCCATGCGCCGAAAAAGAAACCTAATGCATGAGATAGGCGCAAGGGCTCTGCTGAATCATACATTCTGGTGATCTTGCATACACACCAGCATGCAGACGTAACTGTCCGAGAATGCTTCACGTCTTGCATAAATTATGGGCCGGGTATGTTCGTGTGTCCATTCGCACATACAGAGCAACGTACTGGAATTCAAAGAGAATCTGTTACGCAACAGAATAGTACCACTTATGGAATCTGTGACAGCTCGTTTCAAGAGCATGGTCTGTCATAGACTCAGTCACAGGCTGCGCCCATATAAAAAGTACAGATGTATGTATGATATATATATATATATATATATATATGCTAGCATGTTCAGATTGCTATTGATATAAAAATATTCTATACATGTATCTTTTCTTCTCCGCCGACCCTACACGGGTCGGCGTTACAGAAGCTTCGGCTTCCACCTCCTCTGTACCTCTTTGAGTTTAAGCATAGTTTAAGCGGCAGCGCAAGTCCGCGCCCTCACCACTCTCACCACCGCCGCCGCTGCCCCTGCCCCCTACCCTACTCCCGAGGAGGGTAAGCAATCTGAAACCTTAAGCCGTCAACCCAGACCCAGGCCTCTGGTTGTCGCCTCCGTGGCAATAGGTCACATACCTCGGAGCATATGACGAGGTGCAAGTGACGGGCTCGAATTGACAGAATGCCCGGGCTGTTGTAAAGTTTCATGGTCTCTGTTTAGTGGGCTAGGGCTTCGCATGTCAAGGAATGTAGGGCATGAGGTTGCGGCCCGAGTGCTCCGAGCCCGCTTGAATACCAAAGAATGGGTAAGAGTTGGAAGAGTCAGAGAGGTGCCACCCGTGCAGCGGAAAGGTCACAAATCAACGTTTGATGTTTGGATTTAGGGCTTCGGGGCTCGGAGCGTTATTGGGTCAAGGGGCTTACGGTTTGGCTTTGCGCTGGCACAATGGCTGCCTGATTCGCGAACTTTTTAAGCCAAAGCAGACGAGCAGAGAAGTAGGACCTCAACAACTGCTTGGCAGCAAGGATTATGAGCCGTACCGTGTGGTGCTGAAGGTTGGTAGGCTTTCAACCCCTGCTATCACTGCTGCTATTCAGACTGCCATTGCTGTCGCTATGACTGTCACTATCGATATCAATACTCTTGGTATTGTTGCTGACTCTAATGCCCTTGTCAGTGCTACTGGTGGGTATTGTTGCTTAGGGTTCGTGAAACCAGCTTGGGATGATTGAGACAAGTCACTACGGGTTCAGGGCTTTAGGGCTTGGCTTAGGCTTCTAGGTTCCAAAATACTTCGATTCTTGTTCTTGTGGTTATTTGGGGGTCCAACAGAAGTTTTGGGGTTGACTGAGGTGGGACTTCATGGAATCGATGCCTCAAAGTAGCCCAACTCCGAATGCTTAGGACTTGGGGTTTTGTGTAGCCCGAGGGTCATACTACAAGGCTTTGCAAAGGCTTTGATTGGTTTTTTGAGAAGGCTTTGAGTAGAAGAAGCAGCATGACTAGGAGCAGTAGTCGTCGTCGTCGGAATAGGAATAGGAGTAGAAGTAGAAGTGAAGTAGAAGTAGTAGTCGTCGTCGGAATAGGAGTAGAAGTGAAGTAGAAGAAGAAGTAGTAGCAGTAGGAGTAGTAGTAGTAGTAGTAGTACGCGCAGGTTGCAGCAGCAGCACAAGCAGCAGCAGCAGCAGCAGCAGCAGCAGCAGCAGCAGCAGGAGCAGCAGGAGCAGCAGGAGCAGCAGGAGCAGCAGGAGCAGCAGGAGCAGCAGGAGGAGCAGGCAGGAGGAGCAGGAGGAGCAGGAGGAGCAGGAGGAGCAGGAGGAGCAGGAGGAGCAGGAGCAGCAGCAGCAGCAGGAGCAGGAGGAGGAGCAGGAACAGGAACAGCAACAGTAAAAGCAACAGCAGTAGCAGCACTGCAGGGCGAGGAGCACATTTCCATCTCCGCCTGCATCCGCACACCGGCCGTTGCTGGCATAAAGCATCTTCCCCTTCACAGGGGCCTCGGGAAGCACAGACATGTATCAAGGTTTGTGTTAAGGGTTTAGGATATCCCCCCTCCCCCCATGTAGGCAACCCACCACAGCACATGCTCGCTGAACCCTAAAGGTACATGTGTCCGATTTCCCATGCTACTTTATGATGCCTCAGGGTGGCATTTGATCAAAGCTCCACCCTGTTCCCAAAATGGAAAAGGTTACAGTTGGTATATTCAATAGTCACAACCTCCTCCCCTAATTACGGAAAAATATTCATATTTGTGTTCATTGGAATCTCTGGAATTATATTAATAAAGTGTCTGCGGCATGCTACATGAACTTCTGAGCTGCTTTATGCTATATGCTACATCATTCCAAGGTGCTCTGGTGACCCTGCAGCATGTTGTGTCATCGCATTGTGTTTTCATACTACTCTCTGTCACTACTATGTCGTCTATGTGTCCACCGTATGTGTGCTATTGCAACAAGACGCCCTCCGCTGTTCTGTCTTGTACATTGCACTTTCATGCTGTTTCATGTAATTTCGTCCTATGGCTGCGGCATGCTGTGCGAAGTTTTGCTGTAAAAACGAGGGTCCGCTCCTTCCTAAGTGTTTCACTTCCGTGTGGGAACAATTCCACTGCTGTTCTGTGGTGTTGTGCTGCCTGGAGTTTCTTTGTTAACCCCTGCCATTCCTACTAGTACAACCACTAGCACGACCATTACTACTACTCTCGGCCCACGCAAACTGCCGCTGTCCCCTCCAGTGACTATGACTACGACAATGACGACATCATGGTCGCCACTACTTCTGCAGTTGAAAGAATTCCCAGTGCAGGCAGATGAGCGGGAGGCACGGAGGCTGCTGAAGCGGTCTCTTACTTTGCAGTACTCCTTCAAGCTCGTGCGGTTGAGGGCTTAGGGTTAGTCGAGGCTGCTTTACAGCTCAAGCCCAAGTCACATACTCACAGTGACCGCAGCCACTGATTCCAAGGCCGCCAAGCATGAGCTTGTGGTCACACTGCTCGACCAGGTCCTCACAGAAGGAGGTCAAGTGTTTCGGGAGATTCGCCCTACCCCCTCCATCCCCACAAACCCTATACCCCGGTGAAAGCCCTCTCTCTCGAATCGACCCGTAAACCCAAAACCCTAGATTGCAAAGGCCCACGCTCTGAGTCTCTGGACATTTTGTCCATTGCCGACTCAGAAGTGCCAGCAGGAGCTGCTGCTCGGGATTTACATTGGGTTTCGGTCTTAAAGATTACAGCACAAGAAAACTGCGTTGTTGGATGGTTTGTGGAGAAGCTTTGAAGCCAAATATGCAGTCGTCCTGGTGCAATTGTCAGTTCACCAGATTGCTGGCGTAGCTCACCTTGGGCCTGGCCTTGCCGTTTGCCAAGAGTCTGCCTCCCACATGCTTGTGCCGACTGCAAACGCGCGGTTTGTGATGCCAGTGATGTCTGTTGCAAAGCACATGGACTTGACAGTGGCATCTCTATGCCAAGCGGGTGCAGACATGAAGTTCCTGGCAGCAATGCACCGCTTGACAACTTGCATGTTATTTCACCTGCACGCGTGCCGGACTGGGTCCAAACGGACAGGGAGCAGAACTCCTTACCGTCATACCGATGCAGTTGAATGCAGGAAAGCCCTGATGCCAGCGTTCTTTGCAATGAGTTCATGCCTGTCACTCATGACGATTGCCTGGCAGCTACGCGCTAGTCAGAGACGCTTCAAGAGAGCATGCCACGCGTTGCGAATTTTGCCATCGCTTGTCGCCTCGTGCTTGGTGAAGCGTGTTATACCGGAACAGCAACTGCAGAGGATAGGACCGTCATCCAAGGATCCAAGGATTCCTTCTGCAGCAGTTGCGCTTGCACTGTCGACCCTGTCCTGTGAGCCATTGCGGGGGAAGCCTGTATGCCTTGTTGTGCAAAAACACGTATGTTGGCATGAGGGAGTTGCAGAGCCATCACTGTTGGGGAAAGGACCCAACGCGCAGGTTTGTCGAACACTTGGCTTGCCCACCCATGCGCATGCGAAAAGATCCACCCTCAACAGTTGGCTACGTTTGGCTTCATGATGCTACGTCAAAGCACGAGCTAGCAGCCATGGAGGCTGCCCACATTTCACAATCCCAGCCAACTGCCAACCGCACATTCAAGATTGAGCGTGACCTTCGCTTGCCTGGAAATGGTCGGTAACGACCACGTAAGCGCTTGCGTGCAAGACAGCACGGTGCGTCGATTGGTTTTGAGCGGCTTGAAGCCTTCCACTTGCACAGGTGCTAGCCCCCAGCACTCCCTTGCAACGCGAAGTTGCGAAATCTACAGCAAGGTTTGATGTTGCCGTTCCTCATGTTGTATGACCTTCTGCAAAGAGCGTGGCGCGTGTCCTTGGGCCTTCGAGAAACTGTTCTTCACTATGCCTCGTCGGTGTTGCTTTTGATGCAACGGGTGTGCAGCAAAGGATGTCGTGTTGACTGGAATGATGTCAAACGCTGCTGGGGCGACAGCATCGTGTACCGAGTTGCATCTTGCGTGCTTGCCCACCCACGTCCGAAGTACGTTGCTTGGGTGTGTTGTCTAACTACATGCGTTGGGCGTACAAGTTGCCTTTGAAAACGGTTGTGTTGAAACCCTTTGCTTGTGTTGCCAAGGTGGGCAGAGCCCGGCGTGAGGTTGCTGTGGAACTGTCGCGTGGTGTGCCAGAGCGGTGGCTGTGGTTGAAGGGCCACTTACGGCTTGTCATTCTTCCACGGCTACGATAAAAGCCAGACGCTTCAACATGCAGCATGTCATGAGAGCCGCGGGCTGGGTGGAGCATGAGACGCTAACAAGTGATGAGTTTCAGCAACTGTTGTCGGGCACAGACATGCAACGCGTTAAATGTTGGACAAAGTTCCCAGATGTTGACCAGCCGCTTGATGGCTTGATTTCTTTCAAATTGCGAGTGAGACAAGCTTGCCATTGCTTGCGCTTCAGCCCGCGTGAAAGTGTTGCGTTTGAGAAAGCATTGCTTAATGCAGTTGGCAACTGCCTCCACCCTTCTGCCTTACTGCAGCCCCTCCAGCAATACGCGCTTGCTTTCCCTAGTCTCGATCCCGACACATGCTTTGTGCAGGAAGATAAGGACACTGCTGCGTGCTGGAAAATGGCCAAGTTTTCCTACCAGTCTCGCATATGACAAGTGGGTACCTACTGCTTACTGCTTTGAGCCTGCAAGAAGCTGCTGTGACACGCGCGTCCGCAATCAATGCTGCAGAACTATCGCGAGGGAGAGTTTTGCGTGCTTCCTCAGACCCTGGGCATGTTCCCTACGGGTATGGCACGGTTGAAGCTAAGTGTTTCCAAGGTTCCGTGGCTACTGGTTGGCAGCACACGTGCGTGAAGCGATCTCACAGCTGTTTCCGAAAAATTGTTTCGTGGGGGCGCTGCGAAACAAGCGTGCGGCGAATTGTCAGGCAAGTCTCTCGTGCTACAACCCTGCTTGTCAGCAAGTATTTCCTAGGTTGGGAGACACTGAGCCTAAAAACCAGCGTCACTGATCTCAGAAAGCGCTTGGCGAAACTTGACTTTGGCTGTGCCTGCTGTCCAAAGTGTGGTGCAAATCGGAATGGCATGTCACTGCTGGTTGCAGACGCAGGGCAAATGTATGAACAGATCAAGCCCGCCGATGTACTTGCCAACATGGAAAGGGTTGTGGCCCTCGCCGAGCATGAGGGGTATAGGGCGGTCGTGTTGACGCAGTGCAAGAAACTCCGAGGAAGCTTATGCCGGTCAGAGCATGTGGCTGTCAATGGCGCTGATGCGTGGCCTTTTCGTGACCTTGTTAAAGTTCTCAAATTGTCCTTGCGCGAAGCATTGCTGAATGCTCGGTGGGGTGACCGGATCTTGCGCCAAGCTTCAGGTAGCCCCATTGGCGGCCTCATGTCCCGCTTGAACGCTATGTTGGCTCTTGGCCCGTCGGAGTGTGATTTTGCATGCCGACCTAGTGCGCCTACTGCCGCGCAGTTGGCTGCTGTAAGATACGTAGATGACCTGCTTCTGGTGTCCACTTGGTGTTTGGGTTGCTTAAAGCCTCTGATTGATCAGGTTTACCCTAGTCATATCAGGTTTGATGTTGAGCAAGCCTCCTACACTAAAGTTGCTTGGCTGGACGTTTGCGTTCTGGCTGCTGACAATCAGGATAATCAGGTTACTACGGACATTCCTTTCAATGAGCAAGCGTGGTTGTTAGGGCAAGCCTGAAAGACAGCGGTGGCCCCCATTCCTGCACGAGTCTTGCTTTGATAACAAGGATTTCAAACAACGAGTAAAAGCAACGGTGTCTCGCTGGCAACAAATAGGCCTCAGTGAGTCTCAGACCAAGTTTGCGGTCGCTGACTTGATGGCTACGCTCGCAAAATTGGAATATCCGCAGAATCTTGTGCTGCCTGGGTTAAGCACTGGCGCGACTCTTTGAGTGAAAACCTTGCCCCGCGTCGCACTAGGGTTGTCCGGTTTTCTTGTTGATTTTCGGTTTAGGGCTGGTTTTTTGTGGTTTGCTCTTTTGTGCTCTTGGTTTAGTGTGTAGCGCACCGACAAGTTGCGATGGGCGGAAAGGGACGCCGCAGCCGTAGCCGAGACCACTCTCGTGGTTACCACGGTTGGCAGCGCTACAACTCAGGGAAAGGATGCTGGAATGATAGTCGCTACCAGGGAAAAGGCTATGGAAGCTACCAGAGCGAAGGCTATGGAAAAGCTTCGTCACCAACACCCATGAGTCACGCAGCATATCTCGTGCGTGAGCTGCAGGAGCTTGGGCGCCAGCAGCGCAAGAAGCGCAGGCAACTTCCTTGCTGCAGCGTTTTGTGGGTTCTTCGGGCCATGCGCCAAGTCGGGAGACCCATGAGCCTAGTAGCTCTGCGTACGCCGAGCTTGGCGCGCAGGCTACGAGGGCCGCGGGTGATCCACCTTGTTGGTTGAAAGGCTTGTTGGATGGTTTGGCTTCAAAAGAAGGAGCAACAGACACCACCCCCAGCTCAAGTTCTTTGAAGAGCTCTGCGGCAAACCATGCGGCGCAGAACATCGGTAGTACTCCCAGCAGTGCAGGCAACAGTATGCCTACAGCCCAAGAGTCCCAGGAACTTCTGCAGCTTAGGCAGGAGCCGGAGGCTTTGAAGGAGGAGAAGGCTCGACGAGAGCAAAAGGCAGAGAAGGAACGACTGAGTCTCAGATCAAGTCTTTGCGGGAGTCCATGCCCAAGTTACCATTGGAACAGGCTCGACTGGCTCCCTGTGGATGTAGAGCAGCGGGACTTGGATGCAGTCTTGATCACAACAGCGCAGCAAAAAATGTGGATCTCCGGTGTGAGGCCTGCCATCGCCAAAGGGTGGACGCGAACTCCTGTTGCGGTCAGCGCATGGCTGGCGGCAGAAAAGTTGCGGCTCAGCGACGAGGACCTCAATGCGGCCTTGGAGAAGGCAGGGCTCCAGAAGGCTACAGACCTTAGCCGTGATCTCCTCACGCTGCGGCTCTTGGTGAAGGTGTTGTCTCAGCAAGACGTGCCTGAGTGACTCTTAGGGCGCACTTCCTGCAGAGCCACGTCATGCAGGTTTGCGCGCAAGATACTTAGCTCCTTCTGCAAAGGCCTTTGGGCTGGCATTTGCCTATTCATCTGGGCCGCTGGCGCAAGTTTTACCATAATCGCATGTCTTTGGGGTTGCTTTTATTGCTGCTAGCCACTTCTCCGCCAAATGGGTTCTGAAATGCTTCGAGCACTACAGCACTCAGTGGGGTCTGCGGTTGACGAGGCTATGGCGAGAAGCGCTAAGCATGTAGCCACAGAAGTTGGAATCAGCGGTGTCTCAACGGTGCTGATGCAGTCACTCCCAGTTCACTGGCAGCCCGTGGTATCAGCAAGTCTTGCGTATCTGAGGGCTTGGGGAGCTGGACCGGGCACGCACTACCTGACAGATGTCCAGACGTTAATGTTTAATTTGGAGGGTTCTGTGTCATGAGACACTCAGCTCTCAATCCCACCCATGCTAAGAGTGTGTCATCATGTGCTTTGGCCTTGGCGAGTGCAGATGTGTGTTTGAATGGCCATACTCTATGTTTCCGATCATGAAAGACTGTTCGCTGCATTTGGGCGCGAGCACCAGTTAATTCATAGTCCTCTGTTTGTGACATGGCGTCACATACCATCCTTTAGAGCAACCGCTGCTCAATCTGAAGGTACGGTGGGCGGAGCAGAGGGGCAAAAGCTGGTGACCACAAGTCCATTTCCATAAGCATCGCTACATTAGTTAAACCCCAACCCCCATACGCGGAGGCCTGTCTGAGGGCTTCTGCAGATTAGGGTGCCACAAAGCCACAAAAACAGCAAGTGGTGAGACTTCTTGCCCTCTGGAGCCCCCTAACACCCCACACAGTACTAGGCCCAGCCTGCCAATCAGAAACCATGAATCCGTCAACGGCTTGACCGCACAGCCTCAACTCCAGACCGTAATCCCGAGTGTAAGCACCCTGAGCCCATCCTTCTCAAATCATATTTCATCAACCGGAACGAGCCCACTAAACTACCCTGAAAAAAGTTTTAAGTTTTTGGGGATGGGGTGCGGGGCCTAGGATTTGAGGTTTTAGGGCCTAAGTTGAACGGAGATCCAACCCTGAATTTCGCCCCTCCTCCTCTCCCCCTCTCACCCCCTTCGGGGAGCGGAGTGTGGTGAAGGGGTCCTCCCCCCAAACATGGTCGGGGGGTAGGCAGTTTTTGTTGTATAGGGAGTCCGAGGAGGCCCGCCTTTGAATGGGAGGCCTAGACAATGCCTCAAAGAACCTAAACCCCTAACCTCCTGCTAAACCATCAGCCAGACTGACAACCGTCAACGGCACGGGGGCACCGGTTCCGCACGGCTGCATGTAGGGGACATAGCAGGTTTGGGGAGGCTTCCCCTTTTGCCCCTAAACTTCAGAACTCACCCAAACCCGAAAACCAGAAGCCCTTCATGGGGTGCACGGGGAGGCGGCAACCATTCTCTCCACGCTAGGCCCGCCCCAAAGGGAGCCGCCCCGAAGGGTGCGAGAGTCCCATGAATCCGTCGGTGAAAACTCCCGCCCCTATTCAAGGAAAGGTGTGTCTGCGTAAGAAAATGACCTCTCCTTCTTCTTCTTCTACGGGGTTTGAGGAGCCCGGGGGCCCCCGCGCACTGGGCGCGCCCAGACCAAGTCCAGTCTCGGTGAAATTTCGCAGCCAGGTACCTCTCTCTCGCTCTCTGTCTGTCCTTAAACTCCAAAGCTTACAACTTACAACCCTACAAAGCCCTCCGTGGATTTCTCCTGGTGTAGGCAATCGTAGGAATCGTCACCAGCACCAAGGAAGGACCGACGCTTCGTCGTCTTCCAACACCTCAGACCACAAGCTTTCGCTTAAATCCTGAGGATCTAGGCCCTTTGGGACTCAATTCTTGGGGCTTTGAGTTTAAGGTTGGGGTTTTGAGGTTTAGGTTTGCAAGCTTTAGAATTTAAGGTTTTTGGTTCTGGTGGTTAGGATTTACGGTGGCGCACGGCTGTCGTGCCTTGAGCCCGAAATCCTGCGTCTGGATGTGGGGGGACATTGAGGGTTTAGTGCCGGGGTCGACTTTCCTGTTCTTGCCTGCAAGAGAGATGTGGCAGATGTGGTAATGGATGCAGGGTGTGGGAAGCCAGTGGCTCAAGGTGGGGCTTAGGAGTTCCCTTTAGCGTTGAAGGCTTGAGACTCCAGACCCTTACCCCTTCTTTGAGCCCGTACTGAGGCCCGTCCCCCTAAACCCTAAAATTGCTCTGGTTCATCTCAAGGAATTTTCTGTAGTGATCTAGGCTTCCGCCAGAATAATTAGCAGAGGCGGACTCCGTGGTTTCGGGAAGGGTTCCTTGAAGTTTCCTTTCAAGCGATGCTCCAGCATGCCCTTAACCCTAGAGCCTAACACTGGAATCGTAAGTCGTAAGCCTTAAACCTCGAAAGCCCAAACCTTTGTTGAGTAACAAAAGAGTCCAAAAGAGGCCGTATTTTCTGAAGCCCGGAACCCAAACTGAAGTCCTTGAGCCCCAAAGCTTAGCCAGTCCGAAGCGCAACGCAGGATCTGCGATTTTGCAAGTCTTACGGTAGCTCCTGGGCTGCTGGGACACTGCTACTGGCTCGAGCGTCGAAGGCTCAGGTCTTGGGGACGGTGAGTTCACTTCTATGTATACCATGCGTGTGCATAAGTGCGAAAATTGTGAACCCCTCCCGGGCCCCTCCGTCAAAAAAAAGCAAACACACACACACACACACACACACACACACACACAGACACACCTTCACTTTCACTGTCACCTTACTTCCCGAAACCCATCTTCAAGGTCACCTTGATGGTCACCTACCACATACGCCCAAAATTGTCAGAAGTTCCTCCCCAGAGCATGTTGGATCCCGATTGAAATCCGATTGAATTCAATCGGAGCCCGGATCAAGATCCAAGATTGCCAGAGGGCCTTGCCCCAGGCGTCTTGGATCTTGAAATCGAGGCCCATATAAATTCAATCGGTTAGGTGGTCTCAATCGGCTATGTCGGAGATGCCGATTTTTGGAAGGAAGGGAGTTTCGGTTTTATGTGGTTTCAAGGTGGGTGGGAGGGTAGCCTAATACAAATACATACATACATACATATGTACATATGATCTATATGAACGGATATGTAGGCGTAGAAGTGCAACCGACAGCCACAAACATCGTGGTGAGAAGTAGGAAGCCACTGAAAATTGAACATGCCAGTATTCTGAACTTGTCTACATATGTTTACATTGTCACACTCAACAAGCTTAGAACCAGCAACACAAGCTGCCACACGTGTCGCAAACGTGCCAAGACTGTACGAAGGCCTGGAAACAGCATTGTGCTACAGCGACCCACACAGAACTAAATTGGACATAGCGGCGAGCACATAGTCGTCAAAGCATTGGTAAAACCCCGCACATTTGCAGTATGCATAAAAAAAATAAACTTCTGGAAGTGGTCAACCACTTTCGTGCTTCCAGCCCTGTGGAATGTACGCTACCAGAACAAGACATGCTGGGATCCATTAGGCAACTTAATGAAAGGATATTCGCAGCCGATTATTTGGCATGTGACGAAAATAGAAGACAATTCTACGTATAACATCTCCAGCCCAGGGTTGTCTTTTCTTGGAGTTGTGCAGCATTAACTGATTTGCATCCTATCAAAATCCTTCTTCAAACTTCTCGTAACGTAG